TGTCTTTTTGCGTCACTTCAGCAGGAACATCCGCAGAACAAAGTTTTGTAGCATCGTACTTTTTGCCTATCACGTTATCCACGATACTAGTAGTCAGAAAAAGAGACGATGCTGCACCCGACTCGTTAATAAACAAAGGAGCGTTTACCACAAACCTAAAATGCGATCACAATCAGTTCGGTTTTTTTTTTAAACTTGCTTCGGTGCGGTTCCTTTTCAGGGACCGATCATTGAGTGTAGGGAAGTATTTTGCCAAGTGAAGCACTTCAACTTCAACAGCCTCTGGCCACCTAGGTCAACGAGGGGACGCTAGAAGGTAAAACACTTGAAGTCATCAGCCATGCATTGCCGCTATCACTAATATAAGTACCCCTAGGTTGGTAACTACACAAGGTTAACCCTTGCCGCCATTAAAAATGGGAGTAAACTGGAGAGAAAAGAAGACATGGAAAATAAAAGTGAGAAAGCCGAGCATGAGGACAAAGAGAGAGAGGGGGGGGGAAACGGGACTGTTGGTTTATTCAGGATGGCTCAGTCCAAGGATACCGTCTGAGTGAAGCTAGGGCCAAAGGCAGTGGCTCAACGCAAGGCAGTGGCTCCGTGGATACAGCAAAAACACGCACAGCTGAACTTAAAAGAGTGCCTAACCCATCCCCATTCCCACCGTTGGCTAGGGCCCGTGGCGACACTACTCACCAAGCATCTGCTTGCACAGACTCCACTGCGAGGGTGTAATGCACTGAAGAGTTAACCATAAGTTACTAAAGATAATGGGGATCTGTGCGAACTGTTCCAGCCTTGGAATAGCGTGAGGCGATAATAAATGCACACTAATGAACGTTGAAGTATCGTCTTATGTATTATAGCAGTATGGTTATTTCCAGCATGTGTGAAGTTATCAGGCATGAAACAGTATAAAAAATTTATATGTCCGTTATCACCCCCGTCTCCTACCAACAGAAAAGAGAATTTTTCGAAAAATCTTGCATTTCGAAGTTGTCAACGAAGTGATACATTGCGCTAAGCATGAAAAAGTGTTCTTTTTTATTTTGCCCTACTTTTTACTCTTAACGTAGTAGTGAACATATGAATAAGGGTGTCTTAATCATGAGCTTAAGGTAGGTCACCACTCACAAAAACTATTTAAAATTTTGGGGGGAATTTCACAATTTCCAGTTCGCTGTAGATTCAAGAATAGTTAGAGAAAACTTCATGTAGCTATCTTGAGTCGCTAGAAAGTCATCACCCTTTTTTAGACCCCTGCTTTATGCATCTGAGATCGAAAATCAATGTTTTCATACCACAACATCTACCATGTCGTCATAAATACTTTTAGTACACTTGTTACGCAATTCTGAGTTACCTAAGTACGTTTGAAAGCTTTTCCGACATAACGTTCAAATTTTGTTTTAAATCTTTTCCTACTTGTTCGAAGCACTCCATTAGTCAAATTGCGCGGTTTTTCATTCAGGCAATCAGTGTTGTTTTGTATGTCCTTTGAAGTTGTTAAATTTATTTCTGGATTTTCAAGAAAAAAGTTACGATGTTTCATGAAACATGACGAAGTATAGGACGAAAAAGAAGAGTAAAGATAAATAGCCATTCAATATGCCAAGTGTAGACGCACTGTGGAGCACGGGCTTGAGAGTCACCTAATGACTGAAATAAGCTAGAAAAAAAACATTCTTTTGTCTCACTCAAACAAAAGTCTATACCACTTTAAAAAGGTGCCAAGCTAGAAATCTGGTGTTTTTAGGTGTATTGAAGGATTCTTTGTTACATGGGCATTCAGTTCAAATCTTGGAAGCCACTTTTTTTGATACCTGATTTTTTGCGTCCTAGTGTCACACGAACAACAATAGCTCTGCTTCTAACCAATGTTCCCACTTGCAGCACTGCGTGCTATTGCTTCATAGGTGCAGCTGTGCATCCAAGCAGAATAATTGATAGCAAGCGGTAACATTATGTAATATGGCCAACTGCGTGCAAAACACTCTTGCCAAATATCTATTTATTCACTGTTTTTATGATAATGCACCTAGGCTTCAAAATATCGTGGAGGTTATATGCTCAGGGTGTTATCCTCTCTACATAGCTGCCAAGTCACGTTTTAGTCGCACTAAATTTTTTAATTATTACTGTTGGCAAAACACGCATAATTTGGCACTTTTTCGTTTTTATAAATTTAATTTTCTATAGTTAGCTCTTTCATCACCTTAAGCTTAAATTTTTTCAAAGCCATATAAGGCTAAATCATGAGTGCAACTTCTGAATTAAACTGAATTTTTTCTCGGTGTTGACCTACCTTAAGCCTGAATTTCAGATATTAATTATATGCAAATTTTTAGAGGAAACAAGCTTACGTACCTGAGCACGCATACTGAAAGCACATAGATAGCTATTAAAAAATGGGCTTAATAATATTAGCTACATTTACAGACCACCCTGCACAGAGTATATATCGTTTCTGGCATATGTTTTGTAGCTGTATCGTGTACTCGTTTACTGTTGAATTTTAGCCGCTTCCGCAGTCTGTCACTCGTCCCAACCTGTTCCTTTTCCAGCCCACAAAACCGTATCTTTTTAACAAAATTAGGGGCTCACGTTGTAAGTCCTCTATCGAACATCAAGGTGCTAAAAGGCATATATGCAATGCCAGTGCCTTGATTAACTCAAACATCTACTTGTTAATAAATACTGGGTGAGTTTATCACCCCGGTCAAGTTTCTTTTTCTTTCCTCGGACGTTACGTAGTCGATTCACTACTTCTAATAACAACCCCGCCGCGGTGATCTAGTGGCTAGGGGAGCGGTCGCATACCACGTCGGCTCTGTGAAATATCGCAATTATTTGCGTCACATCAAGTCGTCCTCCTGCAAGCCATCTACCACCGTCTCCAAGAACGTCAGCCGCAACCGAAGACATCACGTCTTGTCAAGGTGGGCCGTCTTCTGACCCTTTTTTGGTCACTTGAAGCTTTCGCCAAACCACCGCGGAGTTAAGCCTAACCGCAGTAAGGGCCGCGCTGGCCCTGCCCGGGGTTTCCCCGGTAATGGCGTCTCCAAATCAAATCACCGGCTACGATCCGGAGTCCCTACAGATAATACAGATGGATACCGCTCAAACCGAGACACCTCTACCAACCGAGGAAGAGTACCTCCAGGATATGGTCCGCGTCTGGCGCGGAAGGAAGAACACAGCAGTGGCGTCGAGAGACGCCAGGGCTCCTGCAGCCAAACAACAAGCAGCGTCTCGCCCTCAGCAAGCACAGGGCAAGAACGCGCCGAGCGTCGCCTCGCAGCGCGCCAAGCAACTCCAGTGGCGGCCGAAGAACACGCCGCGCATCGAAGAAGACGACGTCATAGTGGTGCTGAAACCGCGTGAGACGCTCGACCTCAAGGCCACGTTTGGTCCTGGAGAAGCCGGTGCTGCAGTCCGCAGCATCCTCGGAGCCGACGCAAGTGTGGGACTTGCGGTGTGGCCCCTCTGGGACCAGAATGTACTTGTGTGCACGCTCAAATCAGTGGACGCCGCCGAGAGACTCCTCCGGGACATTAAGCTGCCAGTCGGGGGCCGCCAGATAACATTCCGGGGACATCCCAAACTCTCCGGTGAGTTCTGTCGGGGCATCGTGCATGTCTCTCAAGACGAAACGTCCGAAACTGTGAAAAGCAAGCTCAGTGCTGAGCCAAATATAGTGTCTGTGCGCAAGCTTGGGGACACCCCGGTTGCGGTGATCACCTTCGCGGGGACCAAGGTGCCACGGACGGTGTTATACAACTGCGAGCGGCTCCCTGTTCGCTTGTATAAGAAGACAGTGCCTGCATGCCCACTTTGTGGCACAGTGGGCCATCGAGCAGATACTTGCCCGCGCCCGCAGCCCGGCCGCTGCACAAGCTGCGGCGTTCAGGTACCTGCTACTACTCCTGACGGCCCTACGGAACACCAGTGCATTCCGAGCTGCCTCCTCTGCGGCGGTGGCCACAAGACTGGAGCTCCCGGTTGTGCTGGACGGTTCCGGCAGCCGGTCAAGTCGGGATCCCCACGCGGATCCAAGCCGAGGACAACGGGGGGGAACGGGGGGAACAAACAGGCTCCGACTCCCAAGGCTGGCCCCAAGAAAGCACCAGCCGCCAAGTCGAATAAGCCAAAACTCAAGAAGACCGACACCGGGCACTCCACCAATGTAAAGCCTGGGACCCCGACGGAGCCTCCTGCCTTGGTCAAGGACTTCCCACCCTTGACACCCGTCCAAGCACAGGTGAGCTGTTGGGGTGGGGCAGTCTCTGGACCTTCCTCTTCTCCCTCCCCTACCGAAACCGCCCTACAGCAGCAGATAGGGGAGCTCAGGCGCCAGAACCAAATTCTTGCACGCAAAATTCAGGAATTAGAAGCGAAGCAGGTTGGGTCATCCGAGCCAGTGCAGGAAGCCGAGGCAGAGGACAGGGATGACGGCTCTTCCGTCACATCCCGCCTCACTAGCGTCTCGCGGCAGGACGCGGACACGGTAGTTGGACCAGCTTCCATTACCGGATCCATCGGTCGCATCGAGTCCCTAGAGCAAAAAACCGAGCAATTAGAGGCGAGCGTGGCAGCCCTCCCCACTCAAATTATGTCGGCAGTCCGCGAGTCCTTTCAGGACATGTTCACGGTAGCCTTAACGCAAGCACTTCCCGAAATTGTGGCGCAGGTCTCTAACTCAGTTCTTAAAGCCATGCAGCCCTGGGTTATCGCCCAAATTAAAAACACCACTCAGACCGACTCCCCGCAGGTTAAGCGCAAGCCGGCCTCCCGTCAGGCAGCAGAAGAAGGCTTTTCGGGGCCGGCTCCAGGTCCGGACCGGTCCTCTGCACCGTAAATAAATACTAAAAGATGGCTAGCCAATCTAATAAACAAGCTAAATATCTAAAAAATTTGAGATTATACAATGGAACTGCAGGGGTTTTAGAGCCTGGAAAAAACGGTCGCACCTCCAGCTCTACTTGCAGTCCCTCGGAAACATGCCCGCCTTGCTTGCTTTGCAGGAGCCCGGTTTGGACGTTAAATTCTCTGGCTATAGCACTTTCCAGGGGGGGCCCTCGTCATGCATCCTGGTGAACAATGCATATACCGCGATTCAGGTCGATTTAAACTTAAGTACTGAACAAGAATACACAATGGCCAGAGTACTGCCTCTCAGACGTCGCGACCAGTCAATACACATCCTAAATATATACAGCCCCCCGCATAAGCCCCGCGTAACCTTTAGCGAAATCTTCCTCCGGGCGATCAAGTTGGCAGACAAGGACCCCTTAGTGATCGTGGGAGACTTCAATGCTCCCAGCCTTCACTGGGGCTATCACTACGAGAAAGCCAGAGGACGTAAGCTGGCGGAGCTTATCTCCACGCTTCGCCTCACGCTGCTCACGGATCCGGCGTACCCCACTCGAGTGGGGAACTCGGTAACCCGTGACACATGTCCGGACCTCTCTCTCGTAAAAAACGCTAAGGATGCTACCTGGGAGAACTTGGGCGATTCTCTAGGCAGTGATCACTGCCTTCTCCGGGTCACACTCCTGGAAAAGTCAGCTCATAAAAAATGCGGTCAAGCCAAGTTGACCGATTGGACCCAATTTCGCAATCAGACTATCCCTCCCGTACTATTTTCTGGAGGCTATGCAGAATGGGCTCAACACGTAAACAACATTCAGAAAAGACTTACTACTACCCTCCAAACCAACGAAGAAACCCCCGCAGTTGACAATCACCTCCTACACTTGTGGGAGGCGCGCCAAAGCTTAACAAAACGTTGGAAAAAGCAGAAGACTAATCGCAAATTACGTATCCGCATAGCCCAACTCACGGAACAAGCTGCAGCGTATGCTGCCCAACTCTCAGATTCAAATTGGATAGCCCGCTGCGACGCCGCAGCTCGTCAGATGAGCTCGAAGGGGACATGGCGTCTCTTTCGCAGTCTCATAGACCCCTCTCAAACGAGAGGGGAGGCGCAGAAGCAGCTCCGGCGAGCTCTGCAAGGGTACCAAGGCACTCCGGCACAGCTTGCGGATGCTCTGTGCGATAGGTATCTCTGTCGTACGGAGGACCCGCCTGGGCCGGCGTACACGTACTCTGGTAAGCCTGACCACCAACTCGATGCCCGTTTTGAGTTGCATGACCTTAAAGCGGCTTTAGCTAAAATGCGCAGGGGTACGGCTCCGGGGCTGGACCGCATAACAGTAAAGCTGTTGGCAAACCTCCCTGACACAGCCTACCTCCATTTATTGGAATACATGAACGAGATCTGGGACGGCCGTGCGCTCCCTTCCGAATGGAAAACGTCACTTGTGACTTTTATCCCCAAAGCAGGCAAGGCCGTGAATACGGAAAATCTGAGGCCCATATCACTGACTTCGTGCGCGGGCAAGCTCATGGAGACGATGGTACGGGATCGCCTCTCCCCATACCTTGAGGGCAAGGGCTTCCTTGCAGACACCATGTTTGGGTTTCGCCCACACATGTCTGCACAGGACGTCCTTCTCCAGCTCCATAGGGACGTCATACAGCCCATAAGTATGCAACACAATGATAAAGCCATCCTCGCCCTTGATCTGAAGGGGGCTTTCGACAATGTTAAACACAGCAGCATCCTGGCTAACTTGAGCTCCACTGATTGCGGGGCTAAGGCCTTTGCATATGTCAGAGATTTTCTCTCTAAACGCCAGGCACTTCTTCGGATCGAGGACGAGGAATATGGCCCGTACATTATGGGAACACGGGGTACCCCACAGGGAGCAGTGTTATCACCACTCCTTTTCAACATTGCTATGATGCGCCTTCCAAGCGAATTGGCCAGGGTGGAAGGCACACAACACGCAGTATATGCCGACGATATTACAATCTGGACCACTGAAGGGAGCCTTGGTGAAATGCAGGAACGCCTTCAGCAGGCCGCATCCATAGTCGAGGCGTATGCCAACGATTGTGGACTCCAATGTGCTCCAAACAAATCAGAGCTTCTGCACGTTAGAGCGAATCCAAGAGATAAGTCAGCCATACACATCTCCCTGTCTGGGGTTCCCATCAGAGAGGTGGAGGAGCTCCGAATTCTGGGCCTGTTCATTCACCACAGACTCAGACCGGACTCCACTATAGCGAAACTCAAGAGAATAGGCGAACAGGTAGGGCGCATGATCCACCGCGTTTCCAACAAGCGGGGTGGTCTGCGGGGCAGAGACGCGCTTCGGCTCGCGCATGCCTTCGTGACTAGCCGAATCCTCTACGCCGTCCCATACCTTCGCACTAACAAGCAAGAAGACGAAAGAATAGATGCCATCATTCGTAAGGCTACTAAACGAGCTCTGGATCTCCCGGTGGCCACTTCCAACGCCAAACTGAGGGCGTTAGGTGTGCTCAACTCCTACCAGGAGTTGCGGGAGGCCCACCTTATGAATCAATATACGCGGCTCGTGCAGACGGCTCCCGGGCGCCGCCTGCTAAACCGCTTACATATACAGCACACTTGCACTGCAGAGGAGGCGGAGCGTATTCCGGAACTGTGGCGGCATATGCTCTCGGTCGCTCCGCTCCCCAGTAACATGGATAAGCACACGCACGAAAGCAGAAGACAGGCGCGGGCTCGGACGCTTGAGAGGCAACACGGCTCCCGACCTGGTGTATTCTACGTAGATATAGCAGGGCCTTCGCCCACGGGATTTTACACGGCCTCTGTAGTTCACCGGGAAAAGCATGTCAATGGGCTCTCGTTCCGAGCACAAAATCCAGAGCGCGCTGAGGAAGTCGCGATAGCGCTTGCTGCTGCGGACCCCAACTCGAAAGTTATCATCACGGACTCCAGGAAAGCATGTACTCATTACTTGGTAGGAGAGATATCCCCCCTAGCCAGCCAAATTCTAAAACGGGCTCTCGCTGATCCAGCCCCGAAACGCATCGTATGGGCTCCTGGCCATCAGGGCCTACGAGGTAATGAGGCCGCTGACGCGGCCGCCCGAGCGCTTACCCACCGGGCTCCTCACCTTGGCTCTTATGACTCGGAGGCCAATACACCGCTGCTGCGGTTCAAAGAAATTCTCACCTATTATCGTGACACTCACCGCCTTTACCCGGCTCCTGCAAAGGGGCTGAGTAAGGCGGAAGAGCGAACTCTAAGGCGCCTGCAGACAGGTACTCTACTCTGTCCTGCAATCCTAAAGCATTTCGATGCGAACACAGATGGGCGGTGCCCACACTGTGGGGAGACGTGTGATATCTTCCACATGGTATGGGCATGTCCGAAAAATCCCCACCTACCCCCTTCCCCTACCCCTTCCCGAGAGGCATGGGAGACTGCCCTCCTCGACAGCTCATCACTAGAGTCTCAACGGGCTCTGGTGAGACGGGCGCGAGTAGGGGCCTCGTCTTGCGGTGTCCCGGACTAAGGACGCCGACCATGTAGCAGGGTCATGCTTTGGCCCCGTACCTCTCTCTTTTACAATAAATGTTTTTCATCATCATCATCATCATCTAGTGGCTAATGTACTCGGCTACTGACCCGCAGGTTACTGAATTGAATCCCGGCTTCGGCAGCTGCAGTTTCGATGGAGGCGAAAATGCTGTAGGTCCGGGTGCTCAGCTTTAAGTGCACGTTGAAGAACACCAGGTGGCTTAAATTTCCGGAACTCTCCACTATGGCGTCTCTCATAATCAGAGGGTGGTTTTGAGGCGTTAATCCCCACATGGTATTGAATAAATGCTTCTAACAAAACTCTCAAAATGCGAAGAATTTGGGGAGTGTTCTCTCGTCATCTTACTAACTTGCGTTTTCTTTCTTGAAACCCCATTGCTGGCCACTTTCCGATTGAGACCGCTATGCAACACTAATAAACCCACGTGTCTTTCGCGACACCCCACTGCCGGAACCATAGAGATAACGCGAGGAAAATACTCCACGTAGATGACGAATAATGCTGTGTAGCAGAAACATTCCCCAAATACTCGACTTTCTTAAAAGTGAAGTATGACACCTCAATTAACAGCTGCAAGAAAAGATCCTTACGCTGTACTGTCTTCATTACCTGTATGGTATAAGTCCGGCAACAATCAATAACCATTGTCCAATAATTGAGCGGTGGCGGAAAAGAAACTTCTGGCAATATTCAGAGAAAATTGCAAACTCTATAAACAAACCTGGCAGGGAGATCGAGACCTTTTCGGCCGCTTCTAAGTTGATGTCCGCCACCACGACACGGGCTCCTTTTTCAGCCAGCACACGGCAGATGGCTTCGCCGATGCCGCTGCCTCCACCGGTCACAACTGCGAGGCGTCCTGAGAACTCCATCTCGGCCGACATGTTGCCGTGGTCTTGTCTGTAAAAGCGTCCACACTTCTACTTCCACCACTACAGAGGGTGAGGCGGAAGGAGGGGGCGTCTGATCAGCTCCCGCTTTTTCAGTATATGTTCGTCAGAAGCACGTCCCTTTATCGAAGCGATAAGATATACCTCTCGATTTTCGAGAGTTCTTTTTTCTTGCACCTGGGGATAAGCTCAGTCATCTTAGTGCTAAGGTCTCTAATTTTTGTGTCCTTTCCCGCACAGTCAGCCTTGAATCCTTTCTGTCGAGGTAGGGGTATCACTCAATATTTGTTCCAGTTATCGACAACGAAACATCGACGGTTTGCGAGTCAGGAAAACTCGATTGTTTTGTTCACCTCAGCTGCGAGAAAACTGTTCAAGTTTCCACGATCGGAATAGGCGATGGGCTCTCGTTCATTACCAATCCGCTATCGCAGCCGTTAATTGCAGCTGAAAGAAACGCCGAAGTCGGCGAATAACCATAAAAATGCGATGACCAGAGACGCGTCTCTATTAAAAGCAGCTTCACGCAAGATTGGAATTTATATTACTTTGACCTCGTGTGTTACGTCAACAGCCAATCAGAACACTGGATGGCAATTTTTCGCGAGACAGCACATTTATTTTTTTTCTCGGGCTTTGTATCTTAAATTGAGCTCCATCGCATTGCGTTTTCACTAGGCTTTTAATGACGCCGCCAATTTTTATCGCAAAATAATTTTTCACACTATGGCCTTAAGCTGTACAGCCGCAGCCGGGATTCAATCCCGCGACCAGTGGGTCAGCAGCCGAGTACCTTAGCCACTAGACCACCGTGGCGGGGCAAGGCAATGTTGTTACCAGTTGATATTTTCATTTGGGAAGACTAAGTGATCGCAGCAACATCTGTGTATCAAAACTGCGGATGGCGATGAGTGAGAGGCCTTATCCTTTACAGCTGCTAGTAAACTAACATCACCTGTGTTTCGTCAGTAAACAAGCTTGCAAGGCCGTTACACTTTCCAAGAATCACCAGAAACGCAAGCTGCCACTATTCTGAAGCATCGGCAGATTCGGTTTCACAATACGCCTGCAAGAAGCCTGAGCCTGTGTCCAGTGTACGGCTCACTTTTATGGGGAGCCTTTCTCGCTTTATTTATTCTCCTCGTCTTTCTTAGCTTAGTAGCAGGAAAAAAACCGCATTGTTGTTACTGTGGCTAGAAAAAGAAGATAACAGCGCTCAGAATAACGAACCGCTCATCTAGTTGACGCGTCTTTATTCTGAAAAAATACAGCCAGGTACAAGAAGGACGCCAGGACACCAGTAATGTCCCGACTTCGTTTAGTAGGTGTTTGTAATGAGTGCTGCCTGTCTGCGAAGTACATTTCAATTTATGTCTATGTACACGCACACGCTCCTGACGGCTATACAATACAAACGACACTGCGTACCAGAGGTGCTGTCATTGGGCGAAAGATATCCTGTTTAGCGATAGCACGTGCACATGTACATAGCGTTTCCACCTAGGACGCCTAGGAAGGGCAAAGGTAGTGAAACGAGCTGACGAACGCAGCCTACTGGAGGAAAGATCGAATTGAAGAAACGCGAGGAAGTCCAACAGCGTTCACTGCAGACTGGTACTCAACTGCAACTCCACATACACGTTGCTGCCTCTGGGTGGTTCACGGACCCTATAAACACTTTTTAGGGGCGAAACTTCTTATAGTGGCACCCTTTCGTCCCCCGTAGTATGTAACACGTATAACATTTTGACCTCAAAGGTGGCGCTGGTGAGAGAATTTTTCTGTGCGCTGTTGAACAATAAATAATAGTGCTCAATGTACATGTGAATGGCTGCTGATGGGAAATGAGAGGCAGGAGCATTCGGCTTTTAGTTAACGCGCAGGCTGCGATCACCATTAGCAGCCATTGGCATGTACATTGAGCACTATCTGACAAAAAGGGTTGCTACGTTATACTCGCTGGGTGTAACCTCCTTAGCTTTACAAAGGTTTAGCGAGCGTTGAGCCGCAGTGCAATGAATACAATGAAATTGTATATACCATGAATGAACTCGAGGTGGTTAAAAATGGGAAGTAGATACGAAGCGCAAGCCGTAAGAAAGTAAAAGCCGAATTCTCCGCCTCTCATTTCCCATTAGCAGCCATTGGCATGTACATTGAGCACTATCTGACTGAAAAAGTTTGCTACGTCATACTCGCTGGGCGTAACCTCCTTGGTTTTCGAAAGGTTTAGCGAGCGTTCGGCCGCAAGGCCATGAATACAGGGAACTAGTATATACCATGAACTCGAGGTGGTTAAAGGTGGGAAGTGGACCTGAAGCGCAAGCCGTAAGAAAGTGTGCGTGTGCCACCTCTCGTTCAGTCCTTGGAATGTCTGCTGGATGGCGGTGCTTCTATATGGGGAATATATGATGAAAGGATGCGAGATGGTGGTGCTTGGAGTGTTGAATAGATGGACAAACGAACACATAGACAGATGCATGGATGGACGCATTAACGGACGCAGGGGTGGCTGCATGGACGAACGCAGGGACGGACGCACGAACAGACGCACGCACGGACGGGCTGATGGATGCATGGACGGTCACACTGACGGACGCACGGATGGACGGAAGCAAGAATGCATGGACGAACAAATTCTTCGCCCCACTGTCCATCATTCACTCCGTGGATATGCTGCCATGTTTTCGAGATTTTCTCAGAGAATAATAAGGTGGCCGTTCCACTCCCTTCATCTTGCCAATAGTTCGAACGAAGACACCAGATGACGCCTCTCATCCACGTTCGCAAAAAGCTAGAAAATTTCACGCGGAAACGTAGTCAGCGTCGCCTGGCGTGTGTCTTGAATGAATAAATAAAACATTTCTTGTAGAAAATTTAGATCAAGAGAGGACTGGGCGGCTCCCTACTCCGGGACTCCGTTGGATTGCACTGCAATTCGCGCCTGCTCCACGAATCTCCGCTGGTCCTCGAGAACTGGGCCATATCAACAGCATGTTACATATCAACATTTCTCATTCGTGATTCGCGTATCGTTGATTCCCACTATACGTGGGATCTGCCAAATTTTTTGTTGTGGGGGCCTTGGAATTGGCTTGATGTAGCGTCACCCAAGTGGGTCTTTTTCTTTCCTTGTTATTCGGGCATTAAAAGCAATTCTGGCTGGGCAGCAAGCTGCTTTACAACAAAGTAATTGAGTGATTCTTGCGAAGAGAAAAAAATGCACCTAATTTCTTTCTGCCTCTTGGGCGACACGGTGCAGTTTCTTGTAGGGGGAGTTAGGAGGGATAAAAATAATAGTGGAAAGATACGAAGAAATATAGGACGAGGTAAGCGCCAGAAAAAGGAAGAGACAGGAAAGATGGGAGACGGTTGAAGAAGTCTAATGACGGGGCTCCACATGGCAGGAACTGCCCAACGTCAAGAGCTACACAGGTGTCGAAGGTCACGAGCAGCACAACCGATCAGCTTGAAATTTTCCGAGCAACTCCTTACAGCAAATTAGCGGTGAGAAACATCGTTATCACTAGGCAGGGGTATCCTCCTCAGTCGAACGGCTTCCCGACACCGTAGCGCTCACGAGTTGCAGAGACAGTGAACTTCTTATCCATAGTGAGGATGTCTCTGCATTTGAGAGATAACTTCTCTAGGGTCCCTTACATTACAAATCGTTCCACATTGACCAGAAGGTCCTGCATCTTTGAAAAAGTCTCACTTCTGTCCCATCGTTGCGTTTAAAATAAAATGAAAATGGTTTGAGAACGTCTTACAGTGCATCTGTATTTTATTCCCTTCTCGTTTTTTTTAACTAACATGTCTCATCTCTTCGCCTAGTTCAAGGTATCTAGTCAAACTACCTCCAGGTCTCTTTACAGAAAGGCAGATAGGCCGGACTCTTACATCTTAGTTCTAAGTTTGTATGTGAGTTTACCACGGTGCTAAAGTTCATGCGACATAAAATTTTAAATCGTCAACAATATACGTTTCGTGCAGCTTCAGCTAGTGGCTAAAAGCGAAAGTAAAACAGCGGAGCTTGACAGCCTTCTTTTTTCTGTTGTATTTTTTGCTATTGTTGTTTTCATTCCTTTTTATCTCGCATATATACCTCAGCTCTATTCCTCACGTCCAGTTGGTTTCTCTCTATATATCTTTCTCTCTATAGCTTTGTGTTAATACTGTTTTATTTATTTTTCTGTAATGGTATCCGTCCTTTGTTTTTTTTCTTATGTCAGTTTCATTCTTGCTCTCTCTCTCTTGGTTTTGCAGCGTTTCCTCACTTTCTAACCTTTATTTCTCTCTATCGCACATCGCACACATTTATATCTATTGCTCTCTATTGCACACTTATCGCATATCTCACCGGAAAAGTTCTCGCTCCTTGTCCCTTAAGTCCCAAATATTTCATGACTCCCATTTATCTGCAACAGCTATAACGTTGGCAGAGACTACGCGAAGACACACATTTTTGAATGATAAAAAAAGCGTTTAAGATCTGAATTCAGCATCACGCAATCGCATTCTACGTATGTATGGTGTTGCAGAGCAACTGAATTTTCGTTTATAAATATTCATCGTACAAAAACTTTGCACCACAGTAGCTGAGGTAGCAGAAAAAAAAGCGACAGGACGAACACCAATTTATTCCTGTACAACGATGCTGCGTAGTAGTCTACACTGTTGCCTCCGTGTTGCAACGCCGAAGTTAGTGGGTGCTCTGTCAGCACTAGCTGACGCGTCGTTTCCACACGTGTGCACTGAGCAGCTAGGAAATGTCTGTATTGTGCAGTGGCCGTTGAAGTCTCTCGTAATCTGCTCACGTACCTCCGCTGTACGGTCTCGTTTGACGATACCTGGCAGTATCCTTCTCAAATAAGTATCGCGATCGAGCATATATTTGTCAATCCGCTTACACGGCAAGTTGGAACGTGCAGGCAAGAAACGACAGACCGAAGACTAGAGCCAGCCGAGACCTATAGCCTTAGTTAGGGCGAGCCA